CATGGATGGATGGATGGATGGACTGGAAATTAAGAAACGTAGCCAAGATTGGAGGTAAAAATTTGTGAGTCCTAAGAATGCTGACGATAACAGAAACCATGCTATAGATGAGGTCACTTAGGAAGACAGAAAATTTAAAATCATGAGGAAACTTTGTCTGAGGCTTAATTACCAAATTTTAGAGCTATGCAGAGAAATGTCTCTGTCAAAATAAGGAGTTAACATACTTAGATGAAAATCTGCCTTGGACAGCAAAAGGAAGAAAAGATACCATGATGGAGGTATCACCAGCTTGTGCTGGGGAGAGGTTCAGAAAACTGAGGATGAAGAAACGTCCTTCTAGCATTCATGATATCAAAGGTCCTTGTTGTGTTAGGAAATTACATTTCAAGGGTGTAGCAGGACTGAAGTGCTGACTAAGGTGGGCTGAGAAGTGAAAAGGGGGGAAGAAAATAAACATAGTGATAGCATGAGATAAAGAGGATGGTAGCTGAGTGGTCAGTTAGGTGGAATCAAGGGACTTTTAGTTGTTATTTAGCCTTCCCTTTCATTGTTAGCTGTTTTTGTTGTTTGTTTTTGTTTTTCAAATGAAAAACATTTGAACAGGTTTAAATGTTGATGTCCCCAATCCAGTAAAAAAAAAAAAAAAACAGGAAGGAGTAAGAGTAAAAATAAATGAAAGATCAAATCCCACAAAGGCAGAAGCATGGGGTGCAGAGGAGTCAGCCAATCTTGGACTGGAAGAGGAGAACCCTATCTACGTTAACAGGAAGGTCCTTAAAAGATAGGGTATAGGGGCAGTTGTGTTCATACACTTCATGGAAAAAGCTAACAAAGACCCATCTGATGGCTTCTATAAGTATGAGATCACCTGCCAACGGGAGATTACAAGGCAAGAAAAGTACCTGAGGTTTAAAACCCCAAGAAGAGAAAGAGTAGACTGTAAAGCAATATGGAGGCCTGCTTGAATTTGATGAGCATCAATTTATGAACTCTTGAATGTTTGTCTGCTCACATACATTCTGACACTGTCAGACAAATTATGGTCTGTAAGATATCACACATATCATAAAAGACCCATGTTCCCACATTATAAACTCAGCAAAAGTTCACTGTATTTTTAGAAATCTTAGTCTACAGTTCATGTTTATTTGCACACAGCACAAATAAAAATGACTTGAGGTACGGAAAGTAGAATTTTCCTTCTGTTTAGAATGTTGTTTTCCAAACCTAACAAACCACCACTGATTTGAGCAATTTGAAATCCCAACTGGTGATCTGTCCACATGAATGAAGGAGGCAGTTAATGAACAAGGATTTCACTGAAAATCTTGCTATCCTTTTCTCTCTTTGGCCCTCCACAACCCAGCTCTGTGTTACCAATTTACCGTGTAGATATCTGTTTTAATAAATGGCTAAGACAGCACTGAGCACAGAGCAAATGCCAAATAAATAATTGCTGTTTGATAAAAATGGTTCTTATCAGAAAAGCCAATATTTGTATGTAAAAAAACACTTCCAAGGGCCTTAAAAATAGTTTGCTCTTTTAAATGAGTTAAACATACCCACAGAAATTATGTTGACATTACTCACTTGCCTAGCAGAGATAAACATTTGTCCTAGTCCAGTCAGAATTCTTTTAATTTCAAAATTTTGGCATTAGAATCAAGAGAATTTTACTATTTCAAAAATATTTAGGCATAAATAGGTTACAGAATCACCCTCACCCTCCTACCTATTTTAGATGTTAGGGAAGGCGTGGCAGGGCATGGAGGATTATTCTCCAAGTGACATCTCCACGATGGTTGACTACAGTCTAGTTAAGCACATTAGCAAACTGAACAGAGGTAACCGAGACCCACACTACCCTAACATGGAGCTACTGAGTGTGTCCTTTTTATCAGGGATCATCTATTCTGTTTCAACAGGATTGGAAACAGTCTTTGCTGATGTTGTTATAAATTGGTCATTAATCAAAATGGATTTATCAGGCATCCATACTGTGCAAAGCCTGCACTGTGATTCAAAATATCAGGTTGCTTAGTTACCATAAAATGGAAAAACTCCCCTGAGAAGGTTAAAATTAAATGAAAGGCAGGTAATAAAACACTATCCTTGATGGCATCTGACTACTTCATAAAGGCTTTTACTTCCATCACAGCCATTTTATTTTAAGGATCATTCATTCATTCATTTAATTATTCATTCATTTATGTAACTGAGTTACTGCCATCATCACATATGGTCCTTTGCTTGATGCTATAAGGGAAAGAAATAATTCGATATTGGCTGCATGAGCATGAGTTCTCAGAAAATGTAGCAAGCTAATACTGGACTACTATTCATCTTTATTTAGGGAATCCAGGACTTACAGCAGTATCATTCTTTACTTCATATGAAATCTGTACTCACTGAAGCACTTCTAAAATGCTTAAAAGCATTTTTTGGTTATTTGTAAAATTTTGCTGACCACAGATATAAAAATAACTCACTTTTAGATTAAAATAGTACATATGATAATTTTTCTCATGTTAGGATGAGATCTATTTTATACTAGCTCATTTGATTAATAAATACAAGAAGTGGCCACAGAAAGAGAACTAACATGCACACTGAACTGTGACCTTCTGAGAAGATACATACAGTGCTAGTCACAACCAAGACTCCCAGGCTGATTCACCACTGTGGTAGCAAGCCATGCAGAGTCCGGGGTGCACTCACAGGCCCATGCATCCTCATTGGCCCCTCCTTCCCACACACCAAATTCTGCTCAGTTATAGTCCCTATATTACTTTCCTAGGACTGCTGTAACAAAGTACTACGAACTGCAGTTGGCAGCAGTTAGCAACGGAAATTTATTTCCTTAGTTCTGCAAGCCGGATGTCCCAAACCAAGATACCAAAAGGGTCGATTCCTTCTGAGGGCTGTGAGGGAAGAATTTGTTCCAGGTCTCTATGCTTGGCTTGTAGATGGCCATGGTCCCCCACTGTCCTCCCTCTGTGGGTGTCTGTAATTAAATATCCCTCTTATAACAACAATACTCATGTTGAATTAGGGTCTATTTAGGGGCTTTATTTTAATTTGATTACCTCTATAAAGACTGTCTTTAAATTCTGCTAATAAGGTCACATTCTGAGGTATTGGGGTTACAATGCTGTCTTAGTTAGTCTTCTCTCATTGCTGAGACAAAATACCTGACACCCAAAGTTAAAGGAGGAAAGGTTTATGTAGCTCACAGTTTGTAGAGGTTTCAGTCCATAATCAGCTGGCTCCAAGGCAGGGTGGCATTACAGAGAACAGTTCATGGCAGGCAGAAGGTAGCAAAGCAAAACAGGACCTTCACAGTGTCTTTCTGCCCCTTTTATCTCACCCAGACTACTCAGGGCAGGCAGCATTCACAGCCTTAATCCTAGTGCCCTTAGGTCTAGCACTGCACCATGAATCAATTCCAGTGTCACACACTGTAGATCCAGCCACCTCTGAGAAAGCCCCACCTGCGACTGCATGAGGCTTTGGGGAGGGGAGCATCTAAACACAAGCCATAACAGATGCCAAATTTTCTCTGTTTTTTGGTAAGTGAGAGGGGAACAATTCACCTCAAAACAGTTCTCCTTAATTCCCAATCATCTTTTCCATGTCTGTATCTGTGTCTGTCTGTCTGTCTCTCCTTCAGAAAGCAATTCCTGCATAGAGAATTTCCACTTTGTAACCCTAAGCCATGCTATTCTACACAGCTAACCTAAAGTTACAGAATGTATTCCCTGAGATGTAATTCTTTAATTCCCTTGCCTACTTTTATCCAAATGTCAGAATCTCTAAGGGGAGAATGGGCTTCATTTCTCCATACCTCTCAGTCATCTTGCCTCTTTTATGTTATCCAGAAATCGAATCCATTTGGAAAGACGTATTTTAGAAATTCTTTATATTTACAACCATGATTACCCTCCCATTCGCTCCCAGAAATGTGTATGTTTTTATTAGACTTGCTCAGTCTTAGCTTCTACCCATTCCATTTTCTTTTCATTTCTTTATCTTCGACATCTTGCTACACTAGATTAATTCCTCCACCTTCCAACTTGACCAAGTCGTACTTATCCTAAAATAAACTTGGCATTTCCTCTCTTATCTACTTTTCTCTTATGCTACTATCATACCTCTCCGAACCTTGAAAGAGTAATATGCCTTCTTCACTCCCATTTCCTTATTTCCCATTTCCCAGTGTCTCACTATTTGCTTCAACAAGTCTGGTTTGACCACATCACTTGTGGAATTTACTGTTTCAGAGTAAGTAAGTAAGCATCAATTGAATTGTCAAAAGAAGTCTGTCTTCCAAACTTTCCCAACAACTCTTTGTTTCACTGAATATACTGACCATCTATTTGAAGCTATTCTTTTTTATCAGCCTTCACATAATTATGCTGCTTTATTTTTAAAGGCATTGGTGAAAGGACAGAAAACAAGTAAGTCCATGTTCAAACATAGGTCCCACTACTTATTGATCTTAAATAAGGCACAGCTCCAGTTTCCTTGGCAATAAAATGGAGATAATGTCTGTCTTACCTTATTTGCCAATTTTAATGTGAATAAGTAAAATAATGGATCTCAAAATGCCATGAAAGACATAAAATGTTCTAAGTAAGTAAGTGCATTCAGTTAAGTTGGAAATAGGATGCTAAAAGTATGTAAAAAGACTTTTGCTACTAAATCAACAAGGAAACCCTAAAGACCCAAAGCTTTATATCTGACCTAGCACATTTTCCATGATTAAAAGGTTTCAAAGTATCTTCCTCAAGGCAGAATCATCCCCATGAAACACTTAACAGTTAAGAGATTTTGCCTCAAAACCTTGACTTAGCTATAGTTACTTAAAAATGCAAAAATGATGCCTGACACTATATTGAGACACTTTCATGATGACAATACACTGGGCAATTGATATGCATTTTCACTTATACTAGCATGCAGATTGAATCGGTCCAACTGTTAGTAAGGAGTATTACCAGCTCTTGGGGAAGGTGCCCTTGCAATTTCTAAAGAACAAGGTTTCTTTGTCACAGCTGTATCCATAAGATCACATAAAAAGTTCTCGTTTTCTGAAGGAAATGTGTCCAGAGAAGCAGATGGTACAATTTCCATAACGTAGTTCCTCTTCTTTGGATAAGACTCCTGCAAGGGAGAAAAAAATAAAAACAACTTTGTAATAAGAGCACAGCTTTGTTTGATCTATGAAAACTAGAAGAGATAATCAGGTTAACCAGTGCTTCCAAAAGTGATTTGGGAGCTGATGATTCATCTGTTTGAATAAGTTATATAATTTCATAATCCCAGTATCACCAAAGATACTTCTCAAAGAATTCTTACAATTTGATTTCCTTGAATTTATTACTGAACTAGTAAAGGCCTTGCCCTCCTTTTTTGTAATATATATCTATTTTCTGCTTGTGGTATCAACTGTTGTTGAATCAACAGACCTCCTTTGCCTACCTCCTAGCAACAGCCACATGATCCAACTTTGCCCAGTTAGATATGGGCAAAAGATTTCTGGAAAAAATGGTTCCTAAAGCAATTTATTTTCAGAGCTGAGGCTATCCCTAAGCTCATCTCTCTGGATCCAGATTTGATATCTGGATCACCTTGTGACCATAAGGCAACAAGCCTATGATCAAAAAGTCAACAAGCTAAGAATGGTGACATTAAGATAGAAAGAGCCTGGTAGCTTGTTGATAATATTGAGTTGGTTGAATAGATCCAAGATCAGTTTCTCCAGGCTTTTGAAATACATAATAACATTCTTATATTTGTGCCATTGCTATTTGGGTTTTCTCTTATTTAGAGTTGATATAATTACCACCCAACACACTAGTATTTTCCTTTGTAAATACTGTTAACTAATATATAAGTTAATATATAACTAATATATAAGTTAGGATAACATAACTTACAAGTTGAAGTTAAGGTAACATTTAGATCCAATTCTATATTACTGATTATTCAATACATTCTAAACTCAGGAATTCATTTAATTTTAGAAAATCTTAATTTCTTATGGATGAGACATTAATTGGTTACCAAATATTCACTGGGCATTTGTAAGCACGAACATGTGTGTGTGTGTGTGTGTGTGTGTGTGTGTGTGTGTATGTGTGTGTGTGTATGTGTGTGTGTTTGTGTGTGTGTGACTGTGCTAAGTATAGAGATTTTAAAAATGAATTAAACATAATCTTTGCTTTCAGGAAGTTCACAGTCTACTGGAGAAAAAAGATTATCTGCATGATGAATTCCAAAATGAATCATGTTTCATTTTTCATATTTGTTACCTTATAAAGTACATTTCACTAACAAGAAATACGTTAAAAGAAAATAAACTCATTTTCAAAAAATTTGAGCTCCTACATTTTCTATAATGATATTTACAGTACAGTAGAATTCAAGGTCAGTGTAACTGCTTTCAGACCAAACCAGACCCTCACACATCAAAGAGTCAATTATGTTCTCTCTACTCTATTGAAAGCACGAAATTGGGAGTAATTTATTTTTAACAACAAAGGGTGACAAAGTAGAAAGCATTCAGGGGAAAGCAATCAGGATGGTACATGATTTAAAAACCATGTCAGGAAGCAATGACCAAAGAAGCCTTACAGCCACGTGATAGTTTTCTCAGCCTACTTGAAAGGAGCTCCCTCAAGAGCCATCCCACAAAGGGAGGGAAGGACAGAAGTTGCTGCAGGAGATTTATTCCAAAGCTCTTAAAGACGAAATGAACACTCACATTTGTAAGTCAAGAAGGGAAAATTTGGGTCAGTACCAAAAATTATTTTTATGAATTAATAATATTGCTTATCTTTTAAAATGAAAATGCACCAATAAAATGATTAACAAACAACATTACAAAGCAACAGAAGGAATTCCTCACTTTTGGAAATCTTCCAGCAGAATAAAAGATGAAACACATTGTACATTGCTTGTACCAGTGGCTGTAAGCTCCAGGAGGGCTAGAATTTGTCTTGTGTGCCACTGTATTCCCAGAATCTAACACAGCTCATACCACACATTTATTGATCAACTGAACACCCTCAAACAAACCTAACTACTGTTTATGGAAATGCTCATGCCTTCTCCAGATATAAGTGATTTTGCCCCTTAATTTGATTGTTATTGTTTATTGCTTTGCTTATCAAAAGTGAAAGACTGAAGTGCATACCCGAACAGTAATCTCTGCCATTCAGGAGGCTGAGACAGGGGATTGCAAGCTTGAGGCCAGCTTAGAGAATTTATTGAGAGCCCAGCTTAAAAGAAATTGAGAAACTGAGACTACAATAATTGTAAAGACTCTATGAAAAAGAGTCTCCAGATACAATGATAATTTACCCTAAATTAAATTTCTCAGAACAGCCCATGCATTTGGTACAGTTGAAATTTTACTGTGTTTATGAAGAATTACGAATTTAAAAATCCTTAAGAACTACTCTGAAATTTAGTCAATGGGATGGTCTAATTTGCTCTTTTCCTTACAGAAGAAATATATAAATTTCCTAGAGAAAGGAATAAATAAGAGAAAATGAAAATATGGAAACAACATCTTTGTAAATAGGGAGAGGAGGAAGGGTTGAAGGGAGGGGGAATGGGAAAAAAATAAGAACCAAGGTACATCATGTAAAGGTGCAAATTCCCAATGATGAGTGTCATCATATTGCATACCTAAAATGTACCAAGAAACTTCATGAGTTAAGAAAAAGAAAGAAGTCACATGAAAATTCAGTATGCTAAAGTAACTAGTGGTTATGGATCATCTTTGCAGAATGTTTGCTTCTATAAACGTGATTGGAGAGGAAATAAAAAATACTTTGAACTGTAATTAAGTGCTCTCTCTTGTGCGGCCTGAAGGAGTGCTGTCATTTGGCCTCCTTACGGGAGATGCAACCCTTCCAAGGGAAGGAGACAGTAAAACTATGTTTCTGTAGACACATATTTCATGTTATCAAAAAAGAGGGCCATTCGACAAAATGCTTGACAAATAACCCTCAAAAGACAATATGCAAGATAATAAAAAGGATGCAAGGATCCATATGGGTTCACTACCCAGTCTTAGGGACTGAGCACTGTCCTCTGTTACCGAAACCTGCCCCAACCCCAACCTCCTGTGCCCCTCTCCAATCCAGTCTGTCCTCCCTTCCCACCAGGGCTAAATGCTGTTCTGATCTTAGTGTTTAAAACTTCCCTTGGATATTATTAATTTCATATATATATATGTACATATAGAGAGAATACATTGTTAGTACTTTATACTCTTGAACTTCATATATACATATAATATATATATATAATAAAACGCTCTTGTTCTTCTGTGATTTATCCAATCAATATTATGTTTCTGAGATTTGTTTATTTTTAATGTGTTCACTACATAGGTATACATTTATACGTTCTCCTGACACTGAACTTTTAAATGTTTTCCAGTTGTTTTGTTATTAAGGGTGATGTTGCAATAAATTTTCCTGTACAAAGTCTCTTTGCACAAGTAACCAGGGTCATTTTACCTATTCCAACCATCACAGGGCAGCTCCATGAAGAGGTACAAGATGAGAAAAATAAGTGAAATTAAGAGGCCAACACAAACATAATTCATGGCAAGAGGGGCTCATGAGAATAAAGATTGAGTGCCCTGTGGAGTCTACAGAAATGCGTTTCCCTCCCAAAATGGGATGAGGAGTTTTCTGTACATTAAAAAAAGTAAGTAATTGCCTACTTACAATATTTCACTCATATTAAGGCTTCACATAGAATTTTAAATTATTAAATGAGAAACACAATTTTGCTCTTAAAGTTGCTTGAAAACTTGTTACAATATGCAGTGTGCATTCTGAGCCTGCTGGGTGTTGCAGAGTAAGTAGCTTGCGGAGATGCTTCACAGGAAAAAGCTGAGCCCCATCAAATGCCACTGACCTGCCCACTGTATGAATGAGCTGCCTTGGACGTGGATGGAGTGCAGTGACCCCACTCCTCCCAAGCTTCAGATGGTGGTGGCCTGAGCCAACATCTTCATTATAATTACACGAAAGACCTCAAACCAAAAGCATCCTACTAAGATGTTTCCAAATTTCTGATACAAGAAGTTGTGAGATATTGTTTATAGTTTTCAGCCACTAAGTTTCAGCAAATGTGTTATATACCAATAGGTGATTAATACAGAGCCCCTTGCTAAATCCTTTTAAATGTCTAAAGTATATACAATAACAAAGAAAAGAAAGGAAAATTGGGTTATCAAGAAATTTTAAAATAAATTTTAATACAGTAGTAAATGTTCTTCATCAGTGCATTAAATAAAAAGAAGTAATGGCAAGTCTAATTTCAAGTTAATGTTGCATATAAACTATATTTTGAAATATCTTCAATAGCTGGAATATGCTTTGAAAATATTTGATTTCTGTAGATGATAAATTCACAAGTCAAATAATACTATGGACACTGAATTTTATGCCTATATTCATAATTAAAATTACAGTTCCACTTGAAGATTAAAAAAAACAAAGATTAAATCTTTATTCAAGGACAACATAAATTCTACACTGACCCCTTGGTGTTCTGTGGCCATCCCCCAGGTTAAAAAGCCCTCATAGTTGAATATGGAAAGGTAATAGAAGTAGTGCTGGAGAATAAAAAAGCAACTCAGGTTATTTTCTTTGTAATGGATTATGTTAAAACTGACAAGTACAAACTGTGTATATTTATGGTGTACAACAAGATATTTTCATATATATGCTGTAGAATGGCTAAAAAACTATACATATTACATACCTACCACTTTTTATGGCGAGAATCTTGGCAATTTTCAGGTATATATTATTTGTCACCATGATGTAAAGTAGGTCTCCTGAGCTTATTCCTCCTATAGAACTGAAATTTTGTGTCCTTTGACTACATGATGTCCTCCAGGTTCATCTGTATCATCATTAATAACAATTTTTTGCTCTTTGTAAAAGGTGAATAGTAGTCTATTGCTTGTGTGTGTACATACATATATAAATACTACATTTTTGTTATCTATTCATTTGTTGACCCACTTAGGCTGATTCCATATGTTGGCTATTGTGAATCATGCTGCAATGAGTATAAGATTGCAGATTTCTGTTCAACATACTGATTTCATATCCTTTGGCTATATGCCC